AAGGGAGCAGCAGCAGTGGGACCGGAGCCTGGGAACATATGGTCAGTTCCCAAATTCATCTCGTATTCCACCGGGCATATAAAATGAAACATATACAAAAAGGTTGGTGCAGATTTCCTGGTGCAGGGTGATTAAGGGTTGCTGCAGACATTTTCCAGCACACTGGGTATATTTGTTTGAGAACTGTATTACCAATGTCTGTTGGTGCTGGTGGAAGTCTGGTGACTGATGTTTAGTTACAGCTGATTCTTTTCAAGCACCATACAGCAGACCCACATCAAGCTTTTAAATGTAGATCTATACCAAAGTATATACAGCGTACCTGTAACAAGCTCTATACAGCTGACAGACGCCAAATGTTATACAGTGGATCCACTCCTTGCTCCAAACAGCAGACTCACACCAAATCTTATATATCAGACCTGTACTAAGCTATATATAGCAGGCTTTTGTTAAATACAATGCAGCAGACCCCCACTAAGCTCCAAACAATAGACTCATATAGAAGTCTTAACAAGTGAACTGCACCAAGGTGGTGCAGGGCGATTAAGGGTTGCTGCAGACATTTCCCAGCACACTGGGTACATTTGTTTGAGAATTTTATTACCAATGTCTGTCGGTGCTGGTGGAAGTCTAAAGACTGATATTCAGTTACAGCTGATTCTCGTCAAGCATCATACAGCAGATCCACACCAAGCTCTTAAATGCAGATTTATGCCAAAGCATATACAGCATACCTGCAACAAGCTCTATACAGCTGATTGACGCCAAACATTATATAGCGGACCCGCACATAGCTCCAAACAGCAGAATTTTATACAGCAGACCTGTACTAAGCCATAAATTGCAGGCTCTTGTTAAATACAACGCAGCAGACCCACACTAAGCTCCAAACAACAGATTCATATGAAAGTCCAAACAAGTGACCTGCACCAAGATCTATACAGTGGAATTCCATCTAGTGTTACATAGTAGTTCTGCACATAACTTCAAATAGTAGACGCACATCAAATTGTATACAGCTGATCTGCATCAAGTTATATATTGCTGAAAGTACTATACAGCAGACACGTATTAGCTGTATATAGCAGATTTACGCAAATTCAATACAGAAGATCCAAGTTAGTCTGATATAGTAGACCTATAATATATATATATATATATATATATATATATATATATATATATATATATATATATAATATATATTATATATATAAAAAACCTACCCCGGTCCGAAATAACAAATAAGTCATTAAACGGGAATCCTCTAAAGAAAATGTGAAGTAAACCAACTAAAGGGGGTGGCCCTAAAACACCCCAGGCAAGTGTAAACTCCCTTACGATAAAAAAAAATGAATGCGGGCACAAGGGAAAAAAGGTCCAGAATCGCAAAATCAAGAGAACCAGGGCGAGTGCTTTATAAATATGAGAGGTGATCAATCAAGACTGTCACTTGGTAATATGGAGGAGGTCCAAGATAAAGGAAGCCCAATTTCAGAGAGGAGAGGGGAACAAAGAAAAGTGGAACAGGAAGGGTCCTCAGTACACACCCTTTCAAAAAAGGATTTGATAGAAATGTTCACAAAATTGGAGAAGATTGACAAGAAGATCAGGAACCTCCGAGGCAATCTGGGTCATGTACTGTCCCGTTTGGAGGAGTCGGAGAAAAGAGTAGAGGAACACACACTAAAAATTGAGAGATTAGAAATGCAAATAGAAGAGAAGCAATTAGAAATGAGAGAAGTATTATTTAAAATGGAAGATCAGGAGAACCACAGTAGAAAGACTAATTTGAGGTTTAGAGGTATTCTGGAAGAAAAAAAAGACAAGAGGAAGACTTGCTGGGGAAAATGAAAAGAATTTGCAACCCAATTATGGGAAGACTGGAGACAGATTGTATAAAAATGGACAGAGTATATAGGGTCAGAAGGCCAAAAGGGCATATCAGCAGAAAGACCTAGAGACGTGATAGCCAGATTTCAGGATATTGGAAATCAGGACCAGATTTGGAAAGGATTGCGGGATTTTCCGGAAAGAAAATTTGAAGATTCAGTCATACAAATTTATGCCGATATTTCCCCAGAGACATTGGCGAGAAGGAGAGCCTTTAAAACCACTTCTAATCCATATGAGAGAGAAAAAATGTCAAATATAGTTGTAAATTTCCTTCTTGTTTGGTCGGATGGAGAGATGGAAGATCGGCAAGATTGAGATTCCCAGAAGACTACAATGACTTTTGTGAAAAATTGGACTTACAGAAAGTTAACATAGAGGCGTGGTTTGAGGGGATTAGAGAAAGAGACACTCGGGCCCCAGTTAGAGGGCAATTGGCAGAGGGTAATTAGTAAATAGGAGGTAGATCTAAAAAGATGAGTGCGGGGAAGGGGCTATGGGACACAGACAGGGAAATGGGTGGGGATACATAGAGGCCCCCCACCCCTGGTGGTTGGGGGGGTTTGTTCCCTCCTCTCCGTCCAGTGGCCCACTGGGCCGCATTAGAATTTTGTAGTTCCTCATTGGTTTATATCCCCTTGTGCTGATGATCAAGGGGATAGGGGAGGGTTAGAGCAAGCTGGCAGTCCGGGAGGCTCAGCGCATGACTATTTGACAATTAGAGATGTCATCTGTACAGATGAAAGGGAGGTGGTCATGGTGCGAGTCTCACCCCAATCAAGGAATTGCTAGGGGGAATCCTAGTCAAATTCTTGGGCTTATGATTAGCCGGGGGGTGGAGGAAAGGGAGGGAGGGGAGAGTTGGGGAGGGGGTAAGGGGAGGGGGGTGGGAGGAGATGGGGTAGAGAAGGGGTTTAGTAGTAATTATCTGTATTCAAGTGGAAATGAATCAAAGGGAACAGATCAAAAAAAGAACAGAGGGTATGAATGAGATTAAGTTTATGACCTATAATGTGAAAGGGCTAAACTCACCCAGCAAAAGACATAAGATATTGAGGGAGGTCCAACAATACTCAATAGATATAATATTCTTCCAAGAGACTCACCTAACTAGAAATATAAATGTGAAATTATATTCAAAGCATTATCAAACATGGATATATGCGGATTCACCTGTAAAGGCGGCAAAAGGAGTAGCAATTGGTTTTTCAGTAAAAGTTGATTTCCAATTAGAGGATAGAATGGAAGATTTGGAAGGTCGATTCTTGTTTATCAGGGGGAAATTATTAAGAAAGGAATATACACTCGCTAACATATATTGCCCAAATAAAAACCCAACGGGATTTTTGGAAGGGGCATTAAGGAAACTCATGGAGTTTAAAAAGGGGAACCTGGTCGTGGCGGGGGATTTTAATGTGTTTGGATCCCAGATGGGATGTGTCATCTGGGGGGAGGAGAGAGGAGGAGTCTTAAATCTTTGAAGGGGATATTGTATAGATATCAGTTGGTTGATGTGTGGAGGATAAACCATCCAAGGGAAAAAGATTACACCTTCTTCTCACATGCCCATGGTACATATTCAAAATTGGATTATATAATGGTGGAGCATAGACAGTTGGAGATAGTAAAAGGATCTAAGATTGAAGTTATGTCATTATCCGATCATGCCCCAGTCACGATGAGGTTTCAAATGGGGAGTGGAGAAGATAAAACATTATCTTGTAAATTGAATGATTCGCTTTTACAGTATCCTGAAGTGGAGAAGAGGATAAAAAGGAAAATTGAACAATTTTTTTTAGATAAATGAGACCGAGGTAATGTCAGAGGCAATAGTGTGGGAGTTACATAAAGCTTACATCAGAGGAATATTGATTTTCCATAGGCATAGAGAAGAAGGAAAGGGGAAAAAAAAATAAAACAGGCCATAGAAGAACTGCAAAAACTGGAACAAACTCACAAAAAGGAAAAGGGGATGGATAAATATCAGACGATAATACAAAAAAGGTATGAGTTGAAAGAACTGATGGAACAGGATTCTAGGAGGATATTTAATAGAATGGCTAAAGAAAGATATCAATGGGGGAATAAACCAGGAAAATATTTAATGAGAAGACTCCGGAATAAACAGGCGAGGAATTGTATTGAAAAAATTAGTGACGGGAAGGGAGAGAATGGATAAGTATGAAGCTCCCAAATATAGCAATGGAAAAACTAGAAAATCTCGAAAGCCCGATCAGCCCCAAGGAAATTAATGTTGCTTTAAAAAATACAAAAGTGGGTAAGAGTCCCGGGCCAGATGGGTATACAGTAAGATACCTGAAAAAATTTTTTGAAAGATATTGGTTCCCAAAATATGTAAATATAGGAATGTGATAGGAGAGGGAGTAGAAATGAGAGGAGAATCCCTCAAGTCTTATATCACCCTCATTTTGAAGGAGGGGAAGGATAGTTCTCAGTGTGCAAGCTATAGGCCGATTTCATTGCTAAACGTTGATACCAAATTGTACACAAAAGTACTGGCTACAAGGTTGAAGGATCTGATGTCCGAATAGGTGCATTTAGATCAGGTGGGTTTTATACCAGGGAGAGAGAGGGGAGGGACAACGGTCTGAGATCTTTGATGTTGGTACAAAAAAGCTAAAAAGGAAAAAACATCTGCGATCTTATTGTCGATCGATGCGGAAAAGGCATTTGACAGTGTCAACTGGGGGTTTATGTTTGACACGCTTGAAAAATTGGGGCTGGGCCCTAAAATGATGAATTGGATAAAAGGATTATATAAGAACCCATCAGCAGCAGTAAAGGTAAATGGAACCTTATCCCAGTTTTTTAGGATGAATAATGGAACTAGGCAGGGTTGCCCCCTCTCTCCCCCATGTTGTTTTTGTTGTCATTAGAACCACTGTTGGAGAGGATCAGGAAAAGTAATTACATAAAAGGGTTAAAAAAAAAGGAGATAGGGAACACAAAGTTGCTGCTTATGCAGATGACATGCTGCTCTACGTGGCTAACCAGGGTGGATAAAAATCAATGATTTTTTTTTTTAAACAAAATCAAAAAAAAATCTGATTTTTTTTATTTAAATTGGATTTTTTTTATTTAAATCGGATTTTTTAAAATAAAATATATTACCATCCAAAGGTTATTCCATCATGAAATAAAGATTAGTTTTTTAATTATGTAGAATAAGGCTGTATATGTTTAATTTTTTTGGTAATAAATTCCATTAATCCATTCACAATGTCATGCTCTTCCAGAGGTTTTTGTAAGATTATTGGGCAGTTTCTCTGCCTACAAGATATTATCACAGATGCTTGGTTTACTTTTGCAGTTCTCAAAACTGAATTTGACTCAGCGGAGATTACATGCCTCTTCTTCACAGCAAAAATGTTATAACATGAACAGAGTTAAGAAAAAGACCTTAATCCTAACTTCTACAAACCTATGAATACAGAATCAACCCCTTCAGTGCTAAGTTTCAAGAAGTTCAGTGAATAGAATAGAAACAATATTTTTCTGATTGTTTGGAGTGGAATAGATCTACACAAGAAGAAAGTGAAACTAAGTGTGAGGAGGAAGGGGCTGACAGTCTAAGTTTCTTAAAATATATATATATTTTGTTTTAGCCAAATTAGTTAACAAACATGGATGTTTGTTTAAGCAAATAACATATGCTGTAATGTTATTGTTTCAGTTGAATAAATCTATTTAAATTGTTATTATTAAGGTAATGATTATTTTTCTCCTTCCTAAGTACAACAGAAAAGTTGTCCAAATATGAACGATTAACCTATTAAACTGGGGATAAAAAAACTAATATGAAAAGTTGTTATTCTAAAAATCTTCATCTACTTGCATAATAAAGTTATACCAGCAAGAATTAGTCTTTATGTAGAAAACTATGATTTAAATCAAGCCTTACTGACTAGTGATTTAAATCGTGATTTAAATCAGTTTGATTAAAATCAAATCCACCCTGTGGGTAACCCTAGGACAACTTTGCCCAACTTAATGAAAGAACTAAAACAATATGGAGGAGTATCAATCTTGAAGATAAACCCCGGTTAAATCGGAAATTCTAAAATATCAATCTTGCAGTCACAAAAAAAGCAAAGATTACAAAATGTTTTCTCTTTTTCCTGGAGGAAAAACGAAATAGGATATCTTGGAATAAAATTAACAACTTTGGTAAAAAGCATACACCAAATAAACTATATTCCCCCCTATAAATTAAATAAAAGATGAGCTGCAAAGACTAGTAAAAGGGGGGGGCCTTATGGATTGGAAGAATTCATTTAGTCAAGATGGTGATACTCCCAAAAATTCTGTATAAGTTTCAGATGCTCCCGATATCTTTACCGGGACCTTTCTTTGTAATAATTAGAAAGATGATTACCAAGTTCATATGGGCAAATAAGAGGCCTAGGATTAGTTATTAAGTGTTATGCAGAGTAAAAGCAAATGGATGACTGGGGTTACCTAATATAAAGAAGTATTATACAGCTGTAATAGTCACGGGTGATAGATTGGTTTTTTAATTCACAAGGGAAAAGTTGGGTAAAGATAGAAGGGGAATTAAGTAAATCACAATTAGATAAAATGATTTGGATACCTCACGGGTTTCGTACATTAGATGTAGAAACAAGTAAATTGACTAGGATAGTGTTGGATACATGGGACAGATTACACAATAAGGAAAAATGGGAATTTAATTCACATTGATACCACCAGTGGGAACAGATTTTTTTGCTCCAGGAAATGTTAAAAGAAGTGGAAGATGGATAAAGGATAAAAACACACGCTTGAAAGATGTTATAAAAGGGGGGAGATTATGCATGTTTCAGAATTTAAAAAAGAATAAGGATTTGTTTGTTAAAATAGATGAATGGAAGTATAACCATTGTCTCATTTCGTTGCAAATTTACCACAACCATTTAGGGATGTAGGAGAAATGAACCCGTTTGAAAAACTAATGAATGCTGAATTAAGCCCAAAACTAATCACCTCTAGGATATATAAAATCCTTGTGGACTTAGATGATGTAGACTTAGATATTTAAGTAAATGGGAAAGGGAACTAGGAATAAAAATCCACCCTCAGCAAAGGGAAGGTATTTTTAACCTAACACATAAGGTAATAAACATGCGCACAGTAGAGATGAACTACAAATGCTTGGCGAGATGGTATTTAACACCCAGTATAACCCATAAGCAGGGGAAAGCTCCCCATGGTGCTGGAGAGGATGTGGAGAAAAGGGCAATATGGAGCACATCTGGCGGAGTTGCCTGAGGATACAGGTTTATTGGAAGGAAATAGCGTATTATATCAAGGAAATATGTGGGGTAGATATTCAAGGGGACCCACTGAAATGCTTATTTTACTATTCTGAGCCCATGACGGAAGTAAATAGGAATAAAGTATTGTACCATTTAATCAGTGCAGCAAAGGGTTTGATACCAAAATTTTGGTTAGTGGCAGAGGTTCCGAGGGTGGTGGATTGGATAGATAGAGTGGAAGGCATTTTCAGAATGGAAGAACTGAGAAGTTTAGAAGAGGATAAGATGGGAATATTTAAAAGAATATGGAGTGTTTGGTTAAATTTGAAAAGCGCAGAATCTTATACAGAACTAATTAAAGTAAAGGAGGTAGCCTAAGAAATCACGATGAGATTGATCGGAATAACAAGTAATGGAGAAATGGATACAGATAGAGAAAGATAAGACAATGATGGGGGGATGGGTTATAGAATGTATTTATTCATTTAGGGGTGAAAAGAAAAAAAAAAGTATATTTTGGAAGATGGAATGTTTTAATGTTTGTATAAGTATGAAATAAAAAGTTAAAAAAAAACAAAAAACAAAAACGTAAATTTAATTTGGGTGCAGGGTTGCTTGATCGTGCAATTGTCAGTTACTACATTCAAAATGCATTGCATTTGTGATCTGCAGCAGGTGTCATTGTTAACTTATCCACTTGATGTCCTGGCCACAGTAGTTTTATTGAGAATGGGCAGCACAGCCAGGCCAGGCAATGCGCTGGCACATCATCTGGCACATGCAGCGGTGTGAACGTTAACATTCATGACAGCTAAAAATACTGCTTAGAACAGTGAAGTGGGGGTGGGGTATGTGGGGGGTGGGGGAGACTCCAATTTTTTCTTTTTTACGAATATATATTTTTCAACTTATGATTTTATTGTTATCACATAGGGGACCAATAGTCCCCTATGTGATAGCATATGAGTGACAGGTCCTCTTTGTAGAGGGGAGGGGGCAGTGTGTGCAATGAAGGGGCAGGAAGGAAGCAGAGTATACAGTGAGGAAGCAGTGTATACAAAGAGGCTCCCTCACTGGCTGTCACTATATGTCAGTGCCGGTTTTTAAATGCAATTGCCAGCTTTTTTTTTTTTCTTCACTATAGCGCACAAAATTAGCTGTCATTTTCCCCCCCAGGAGCTAAAGGAAACTTTGTTTCTTTTATCTCCAGAGATAAAACTAAAAGGAAACTTTGTTTCTTTTAGCTGGGGGGAATGTAACAGCTAATTCTGTGAACTATAGTGAAGAAAAAAAAAAGCTGGTAATTACATTTAAAAATCAATTACATTTAAAAATCGGCACTGACATATTGTGACAGCTAGTCACTGTATACACTCCTCCTCTCCTACCTTTCTCAGCCGCCCCCCCACATCTGCAGTACACACAGTCTCCTGTATCGGCTAAATTTTTCCTATCAACAAAATGCAGAAAGGGCTATTTTCGGCCAGTATGTTTCAGTAGCCAAAATTTCGGTGCATCCCTAATATATATTTAAAAATAGAAATAAAGAAAAAATACCTAGATCAATGTTAGATCTAAGTTTTGTGACAGGGTTAGTGTTAGGGTCAAGTAAAGGTCATGATTAGTAAATTTTAGGCAGGATTTCGTTTTTTTTTTTTTTAAAGCATTTTTAAAAATCGTATAAATGTCAGTTGGTGTCAGTGTGTTTTAGGTAGCAGAAAAAAAAACAAAATGTGCACTATTGTTTCTGGGCCTGTGGGTACAACCAGGGGTGGACTGACCATTTGGAAACTCGGGCACTGCCCGAAAGGCCCTTGGTCAGTAGGGGGCCCCATGAGATGCCCCTAGTACCTTTTTCATAGGCTTTTTTGAGTTTGGGCAAGGACACAGGGGCCCCATGATCCCCTATTGCCCGGGGGCCCCATAAGTTGTCAGTCCACCCCTGGGTACAACCAATAAATGACAAACACCTATGTGGTATCACTGCTATCATCAGGAGAAGATGTAGTTATTTTGGGTTGTTCTTTGGTAGATTATGGTAGTAGCAAAAAATATACAGCTATATTTTTTTCATTTTTAACTATTTTGGGCAAAATCAGGAGATATCTGTTACCATTTACCACCAAAAAAAAAAAAAAGAGCCCAATTTGTCCTGAAAAAAAAAACAAAAAAAAAAAAACGGTATAAATCCATCCGGATACAGAAAGTACAGTGCTCAAAAAAATTAAAGGGACACTTTTTATTTAGAGTATAGTATCAAGTCAATTAAGCTCCTGGGATATTGATCTGGTCAGTTAAGTAGCAGAGGGAGCTGTTTAAACAGTTTCAACTGCTTTGGTGGTAATGAAATTAACAATTGGTGCACTAGATGGGCAACAATGAGACGACCTCAAAAACAGGAATGGTTTTACAGGTGGAGGCCACTGACATTTGTTTCCCTACTCATCTTTCCTGACTCTTTTTCACTAATTTTGCATTTGGCTAGAGTCAGTGTCACTACTGGTAGCATGAGACACCTGGACCCTACAGAGGTTGCACAGGCAGTCCAACTCCTCCAGGATGGCACATCAATACGTGCCACTGCCAGAAGGTTTGCTTTGTCTCCCAGCACAGTCACAAAAGCATGGAGGAGATTTCAGGAGACAGGAAGTTACTCTAGGAGAGCTGGACAGGGACATAGAAGGTCCTTAACCCATCAGCAGGACCGGTATCTGCTCCATTCTGTATGAGCACTGCCAGAGCCCTACAAAATGACCTCCAGCAGGCCACTGGTGTGAATGTCTCTGACCAAACAATCAGAAACAGACTTCATGAGGGTGGCCTGAGGGCCCGACGTCCTTTAGCGGGCCCTATGCTCACTGCTCGCCTCCACAGAGCTCAATTGGCATTTGTCATTTAACACCAGAACTGGCAGGTCCTCTACTGGTACCCTGTGCTTTTCACAGATGAGAGCAGGTTCACCCTGAGCACGTGACAGACGCGAAAGGGTCTGGAGAAGCCGGGGAGAACATTATGCTGCCTGTAACATCATTCAGCATGACCGTTTTGGTGGTGGGCCAGTGATGGTCTGGGGAGGCATATCCGTGGAGGGACACACAGACCTCTACAGGCTAGACAATGGCACTCTGACTGCCATTAGGTATCGGGATGAAATCCTTGGGCCCACTGTCAGGACCTACACTGGTGCAGTGGGTCCTGGGTTCCTCCTGGTGCACAACAATGCCCAGCCTTATGTGGCGAGAGTATGCAGGCAGTTCCTGAAGGATGAAATAATTGATACCATTGCATGGCCCCCATGTCGCCTGACCTAAATCCAATAGAAAACCTCTGGGATATCATGTTTTGGTCCATCTGACACCGCCAGGTTGCACTTCAGACTATCTAGGAGCTCAGTGATGCCCTGGTCCAGAATTGGGAAGAAATGCTCCAGGACACTATCCGTCGTCTCATTAGGAGCATGCCCTGACGTTGTCAGGCATGCATACAAGCACATGGGGGCCATACAAACTACTGAGTATAATTTTTAGTTGCTGCAATGAAATTTCAGCAAAGTGGACTAGCCTGCGGCATCAATTTTTCACTTGGATTGTCGGGGAGTGTTTGAATTCAGTTCTCTGTGGGTTGATAATTTTCATTTCCATCAAACCATGGGGCATCCTTTCATTCTTAACATATTATGCATTCCATATCAGTATAGATATCCAGCATGATATTTTTCCCCATTGATATCTGATTTGTTTTCAAAGTGTTCCTTTGATTTTTTTTTGAGCAGTATAGTTGTGATGATATTTTACCAACACGTCACACTTGCAAAAATTCGGAAGTGATGTAATATCTTGTATTGGTGTTGCATTTTTGGACAAAAACTGTACTGATTACATAAAAATTGTACAATCTTGTCTTGTACAAGAAACATTTCTGTGCGTGTCCCTTCGAATAATTTTGGACAAAAGCTGTGTACGAATGATCGGATTATCGTACGATCGCTTCGAAAGTGGTAAGTTGTACAACTTTCTTATTGTGTGTACTAGGCTTAAGTCACTAAGGGGTTAGTGGCTGAGTATAGTTTTTGGGATAACATATAAATTTAAACACTATAATACACACATACACACACACGGTAAAACAAGTACTGAACATGTCACCATTTTTCTTGGAAAAAATATATCTCTAAAAAGGTGTTATTTACATGAAATTTTCACCACATGTCGATAACAACCAATGCAATCCATACAAAAAAACTAAACAAATAAGTTCAGAAATTAAGGTATTTGTAATAATATGGAATGACACAGGGAAAAAGTATTGAACAGATGAAGAAAAGAAGGTTCAAAAAAAGGCATGGAAACCATCTGAAATCATTAATTAGAAAGCAATCCTGCCCCTTGTCAGTGCAAATTAATATCAGCTGGTTCCGTCTCAACTGATGGTCTTTAAAAAAAGTGTCTCATTACCAAGGTGTCACACAAAAAACATCTCATGATGGGTAAAAGCAAAGAGCTCTCTCAAGACCTTCACAGCATTATTGTTGCAAAACATACTGATGGAATTAGTTACAGAAGGATTTCTAAACTTCTGAATTTCTCAGTGAGCACTATTGCAGCCATAATCAGAAAGTGGAAAGAACATCATTTCACCATAAACCCGCCACGACAAGGTGCTCCTCACAAGATTTCTGACAGAGGAGTGAAAAGAATTATCAGAAGAGTTTCCAAGAGCCAAGGACCACTTGGAGAGCTTTAGAAAGACCTTGAACTAGCTGGAACAATTATTTCAAAGAAAACAAGAAGTAATGCCCTCAACCACACAACGTTTATGCACGCTCACCACACAGACTCCATTGCTTATGAAGAAGCATGTTGAAGCTCATTTAAAATTTGCTACACAACATGTAGACAAGCCTGTAAAATACTGGGAGAATATAGTCTGGTCAGATGAGACCAAAATTTAACTCTATGGATGCCACAATACACACCATGTTTGGAGGTCAGATGGCACTGCACATCACCCCAAAAACACCATACCAGTGAAGTTTGGAGGTGAGAACTTCATGATGTGGGTTGTTTTGCAGCACACTGTACTGGCAAACTTTATGTCATTGAAGGAAGGATGGATGGAAAAATGTACCAAGACATTCTTGATAAAAATCTGCTGCCTCTAGCAGGATGATGAAGATGAAACGAGGGTGGACATTTCAGCAAGCCAATGATCCTAAACACAAAACCAAGGAAAATCTCAATTGGTTTCAAAGAAATAAAAAAAAGCTGCTAGAATGGCCCAGCCAATCACCTGACTTGAATCCAATAGAAAATCTATGGAAAAGAACTAAAGATCTGAGTTAAAAGAAAAGGCCCATGGAACTTTCATGATTTGAAGACTGTTTGTGTGGAAGAATGGGCCAAAATCACACCTGAACAATGCACAGGGGTGTGGAAATGTTTGAAAAAACTACTTGTCCAGGGACTAAATCGGTGACCCAATCTATTTCTCTCTCGTGACAATCTACTTGTCCAGATAAAAAATAAATACATTTTAACCAAAACTGTATTTAAATCGGAGGGGATATTAGGAATGTCTGGGGCTTTTAAAAACAAAAGCGTCTGTATGGCAATTTAAACTTTTAATATTTTTAACATCTCTGTTTATCTCCTCCTCTTCCCCTCCTCCTTCTCTCCAGCTCTGCACCCGGGGACTAGCAGGGAGGGGAGAGACCTTACAGTGTAATGAGCACCGATTGGCTGCTCCTCAGGAAAGGGTGGGTCAGGGCATAAGTTTAAAAAATAATTTTAGACCTGAAGATTACATAAAACCCTCTAACATTATATATTTTCTGAAAGCAGAGACCCTAGAGCAGGGGTCCTCAAAATTTTTAAAACGGGGCCAGTTCACAGACCTTCACACAGTTGGGGGGCCGGACTATAGTTTGAAAAAAAAAAAAAAAAAAAAAATATGAACAAATTCCTATGCACATATCTTATTTGTAGTGCAAAAAAACAGGAAAAAAAATACAATATGTATAATGCACTGTACACTGTAATGCACTGGACACTGCAATGCATTGTACACTGTAACGCACTAGACACCGCAATGTACTGTACACCGCAATGCACTGGACACGTCAATGCACTGGACATTAACGCACAAGACACCGCAATGCACTGTATACTGTAACGCACTGCACACCGCAATGCACTGTACACTGACACACTGGACACCGCAATGCACTGGGCACCAAAATGCACTGGACACTGCAACGCACTGTACCTGGTGCCAGATATGCTCCCCTCCCCTCCTGTTGCTCCTCTGGCTGCAGCAGGTGAAGTCAGGGGCTTCCAGGCTGCCGCTCGCTGGGTCCTCAAGGCCGAAGACCCAGTGAGCAGCCTAACTATTTGGTGGTCTGTTTTTTTTTTTGGGGTGGGGGGAGGTACCGGGAGTTTTTTCTGGCTGACCCGGCAGGCCGGATAAATGGCTTAAGTGGGCCGTAGTTTGAGGACCCCTGGCGTAGAGAATAAAATAGTAGTAGTTACAATTTTTTATGTCTCATGATAGTACCGCAAAATTTTTGTAAAAAATACAAGTTAATTTTAGGGCACAAAAAAAGCAATACATTACCCTATTTTTTTTTTGTAAAATATAAAAGATAACGTTGCATCGAGTAAACAGATATCCACCTTGTCAAACCTTAAATTTGTGCGTGTTCGTGAAATGGCACGAACTTCAATACCCTATATTTTCTAGAAGTCGACACTTTTAAAGCACGTATAGGTCATTCAGTTTAGCGTTACAGAGGAGGTCTGATGCTAGGATTATTGCTCTAATTCTGGTGTGCGAGGCAATATGTGACATGTGTATCGCAATCGACGTCATGCGTAGGTTTTCCAGCGTGTGCTTTTATGTTTGTACATGAGCATATGTGGGGGCCTCCATTTGGGGGGGGGGGGAATGGTA